GAGAGAGAGAGAGAGAGAGAGAGAGAGAGAGAGAGAGAGAGAGATCCTGGCAGCTGTATCGTGAATAGAAGGACATTTCTCCTCGTCTTTGTTACTAACCTTTCGTGTCTGGAGTTGGCGATCTTGAATAAAAAACAAAAGACAATTTTCTTGTACGATAAGGAAATTCAAACGGTTGTTCTAGCCTGAATAATGTGGATTTATTAAAAAGAAATTCAAAACAGAAATTGTTTCAGTAAAGGAAGAGAGCATGACACATGCAGGTATTGAATAAGCAGCCAGGCTATGCAACGGAACTGGTGAGTTGTTTACTTAACAATAGTAACATCTTCGTGCCGTTCAGCCGCATGGGCTGGGTAACTTACTGGTCCACTTTTGCACTTCCACAATTCAAACATAATTGGGGTTATGTGACCCCCCCCGTGAGCCTCTCAGCAGGCAGAAGAGGACCCCCCCCCAAAAAAAACGGCCAGTAGTTCCCGAGTCCGGGTCAGGCCCAGACAGGGACCGCGAGGACCAAGGACCCGATAGAACGCCCGGTCATTATAGCTGTATGAAGTGCAACTTTCAGCCAACTTTTTTCTTTTCTTTTTTTTCTAAAACCTATATTCTTCTCTCAATTTCACCTCACACTATCTACCTACCACTACTCCTAATTGTAGGCATACGTTTCAGTCAACTTTCAGACAACTTTCAGTCCAAATATGGCAATAATTACCGGGGGTTCTGTTCGGACGAAGACCGTAGCAGGTGCTATATATGGCTTGTGATGGGGTGTGAACCGACAGTCTGTACAGTTTTCCATCCGGTGTGGGTGAGTGGTCGTCTGCTTTGATTTTCGGCACAGGTACCTTGGGGGCAGTGGTTGGGGCCCACTTCAGGGTATCAGTTGTCCGGCAGTCTTTTATGCTTAACCGTTAACCACAACCGGGGTAACTGTTTAGGTGGATTATCACTTACCCTGTAATCAGTTAGGGGATTCTGCAGTCTGTTGAGGGTTCAGCCTCCTGATGAGTTGGTGAAACTCCAACGAAACAGTTTGTCACAGCCCCCATTGTTTGTTGTCTGCTACCCGGCAGCTCTGTTTGACGTTAATGCCCGTCCTCATATTTCTGCATGCATTTTGCACAAACCAGGGCACTATATGGCACTCATTCGTGCAGCTGCCCAGTGGGAACTGTGGGATGGTGGGACGGTGATTCAGGTTATTGTCAACATAAATGAATTCTTGCGAGGTTTGTCGAATCATACACTGTTCTGGATTGTTGAGCGTCTCTCGTGCGGCATTTGTCGGGATAGAGACGTGGTGCGTCTTGGTTGTGGAATGCATTATCTGTGTCAGCACCATTATCAATCCATTGCGACTGCCGCCGTATGTGCGGAAGGGTGTCTAACACTTCCTCATTGTGCACATCCCTATCATCCAGATGTACGTTGTCCTTTCTGTTCCCAAGGACGCTATCAGAACTGCATGATGCCGCACTGTGACGAATGTCCTGCTGTTTTCTTGACATGTGGGCAACATGTCCTCTGTCGGGATTGTTTCGATGGGATGGTTCGTGCTAGCCGTCCGGCTGAATGCTGTACTAGCGCAACTCTCCTTGGGTAACCCTGTGAACATCCCCGTCATCCTCACCGTAGTTGTCCTATCTGCCGAGGGGGTGACAGATGAAGTGTAGAAGAAACAGATAAAAAACGAGACCGAGTAAAAAGATAAAAAATAAATAAATAGGAAAAGAAACCAAGGAAAAACACAGAAAAAGAAACCTGAGAAAAAAGAAAAAAGAAAAAAGAAGAATATGTTCTGTGGGATGGTAATTGGATTATCTGTGGGATGTGTCACTTGCTTCGTCTGTTTAATAGGCTTTCTTCTTCTGTGAGGTCTGTGGGATGTGTCACTTGCTTCGTCTGTTTAATAGGCTTTCTTCTTCTGTGAGGTTTGGTTTCCTCCGCCTTTTGCGCTCTGATTTCCATTGTGACAATATATATATGCTAGCAAGTGCCCACGGTGCGGGTGGTGAGGGCTACGCCCGCAGAAACAATAACAAATGCAGTGGCTGACCTCACACTGCATTTGGGATGGATCGCCTCCAAGATGTTCGTCCGCAGAAACAAAGACGGCCTACCGGGGCACACAAGAAATAAAAAAAGAAGGAAAATAAAAGAGACCAAAAAAAGGGGGGACACAAAACGACAGGCGCCAGCAAAGAAAAAAAGAGAAGGGGGACACCAAACTATGGCCAACCGGGGGAAAAAAAAAGAAAAAAAAGCCGCCCGCATATCGGATGGCTCACCTGCAAGATGTTTGTCGGCATCAACGCCAGCCGTGTGCCCCACCGCCGGGGTGCGGTGAACATTTGGGTACGCGCACCCCGCTGCACACTCCCGTGCCCTCAATCGCCTTCATCCGCTGGCCCTCACCAAAATTTTGACCCGAATCCGGCGCGCAGCGCATCATGGACCTCCCCCCACGGCCAATGGTGCTTAAGGGACAGGCTATATCTATATTTATATCTATATATGATAATTTTTTTTAAGCATCTATTCAAAGCAAGAGGCCTTTCAAAAACGACTTCATCTTCCAGACAACCAAATTGTATTGAATGAGGTGTACGGCAATGGGCCTCGTTAGACACTCCTTGTGGACCCGAAATCCACAAGGAAGTGCTCGTTCCACCTGTCCTCAGGGACGATTCACAAAAAAAAAAGTGAAAACAGCACAAGGAAATTTCCTTGTGGCGTCCTTGTGGCTACAGCCAATTTTTTCTAATCCCCAAGGGACGACCTCCCAAGGTCGCTCGGAGCACAAGGAAGCGCAAAATTCGGAGCGTGGAAGGCATGCGTCGACGCACAGTTTCGGATTGAGGGTGGTCCAGACGTGGTCCACTGAATGGGAGCACATACATCCCTGCCCTCCACGGTCTGGGCGGCACCCCAACGGCTCGAAACGGTCACCGTCCCCATGAGGCTTCCGTCTGTCGAATCGGGCGTCGCTGGCCGGTGTCATGCGGTCTGCTGCGCTGGGCGATCGTCGACAACGGTCGGAAATTTGAATGCTTAAGTTGTCCGCACCGGCGTTGCGTTGGACGACGACAACTTTATTTTGGAATATCGTCGTTTTCGTTGGTTGTCGTCACGCCATGCACGTCAGAGCACAGATCTTCCCTCACTTTTTCTTCTGTCGACGGAGTTCTTCGTTGGACGGTCGACCAATGACGTGGAGCTGCTGTCCTTTCCACGGCCCTTACATGGCCGACCTGCTGCACAGGCTGCCTTTGCTACTCCTCGTCGTCGTGCTGCCTCTCGTCGTTGTCTTCTTCCACATGTGTTTCGTTGTCCTGCTCCCTGTCGCGGCTCGCAAAAGGAGATCTTCAAAGAACGGCGACAGGATGGATCGACGACTGACCAACGGTAGACCGGCAGCTCCCTGTCCTGCTCCTTGTCCTGCGCTTCATCCACCACCTCAGCGTCGCTTGAGGAATCAATTCGCCACGTAGTCGGGGCCATCGTCTGGAGCTTGCATCAATGCCCTCCGTCTACGCGCACGCAACTGCTCCTTCAGTCGTCCCAGCGCCCTCTCCTGCTGACATCGAAGAACAACGGTAGACACGGCCGCCGCCATGGCCTGCAGCTCAAGAGGCGTCAACACCGCACGTCCACCCTCTCCGCCGCCCTCCATAGGCACGACCTGGACACGGACCCGTCGCTCCGCTGCCGTGTGTGTCGTCCTTTCACACCCAACGAAGAAGCCGAAGGCGTTCGTCGAAAGCTGGTCGCTTTTCTCTGGATGCAGTCCCGCAGACGGAAATGTGTTGAAGGCGCAGTCGACGTGTGCGAACATCGACAGCGATGGATACACCCGACGATGCCGGCGCACTCACAACGGCCGGGGGACGGAAGTGACGCCGCCGCTGAGCCCGTTTCAGCAGTACGCCATCTTCGCACCGCCAACCGCACGTCGTCGTCGTCGTCGCAGCCGTCATCCGAATTCGAATTTCAAATGTCGACGCCCCCCGGGTTAATTTTTTTTCCCGTCGCCCGCCTCATGCCGTTTCCCGCCACACGTCGCTGGACCACACCGCCTCCACACGGACAAAAAACGGTGGACCAAGGACCACCGACCCTGCGGCCACTAATTTCCGTATGAAAACGGCCGCGGGCACACCACAAGGAAACATCCTTGGGGGAGGTCCCCAAGGATGAGTGGAACGACGCCGCAAATTTCCCTTAAGAGCCACAAGGAAGGAACTCGTAAGGAGTGTCTAACGAGGCCCAATACAACATTAAAGATGAGAAAGGAGATGACAGGCACCGAATGATTTCCATCATGTTCCCGACTCCGTATCGCAGGGCGAAATTCGACACGAGGTGCATAGTCATATCCAAAAAAGCAGTTAAATGACCCAACAAACCCGCCAAATCCTGATCTTCCAACCTAGCTCATCACACAGCAACCTTTTTTAAACCACCATTACTTCCTAGAGTTGTGCCCGTTAATGCGCCATGATTTTAGGAAACGTACGGGCTACTACAGGAGCGCCCACATTCATCCGACTAGAAATGTTTCTACTCTATTTTTTTCCACGGTCCATAGCTGGGCCAAGTACTGGTGGTTTAAACCACCAGTACTTCCTAAAGTCGCGTAGCGTTAACGCTACGCAATTTTAGGAAACGTACGGG